CAAGCCCTAAATAATTTCCCTTTTTGTTTGTGCCCGATAGGCATAGGGGTCCAAGATATGGCAGAATAGGAGTGTCTGGTTAAACTAAGCCTTAAATTTTGCATGCAGCCTGCCTTCACAGCTTTTTTTAACCCTACTTCACTTATCTTCTTTGCTAACCTTTTATTCTGCTGGACTCTCATTAGCTGTCAAATTTCTAATCCTATTTTATGCAAGCAGCTAGAGGCAAAATAGCAGAGAGCAGCAGCAAAATTCATGGTTAACAAGTTATAGCATGAGGCCCACAGTGGCCCAGTTGCACACAGGTTTTTCTGCCCTTCAGAGTGGGGCTTTCCTGTAGATTCATAGTGCTATTTGAAGCATTTTTCTGCAAAGGGATGTTAAAGGCAGAATAGACCTTTTTCTGGAGGTGGTCACTTACAAGGGGGAAAGTAAATGAATCAATAGGATTGTCTTCCGTACTTCAGTGATGATAACAAGCACACCTACATCTTAATCTAAGTCTTAATGTATTAATTTAATAATAAATTAGTTAATTTTTTCAATACTTGATCATTTCGTACAAAATGTGATACAAAATCCTCTGTACTGCCGTTCCAAGTATACAAGTATACAGATTACAAAAATACATATTTGTTATCCTGAGTTAGGTGCTCCTAAAAATTCCAGTCATGTCCTGTGGCTGTATTAAAATACTTCAACTTCTTGAGTTTATAAGCAAACTATATATTCTCCTCCTGGCAGGCTGGCTGACCTACCTCATTCTCATCCATTTTGAAAAATACTCACCCTAAGCAGAATGTTCACAGTGAGGTAATGGCTGTCTCTAAAAATACTATGCTTGGAGGTGGCATCCTTTGGAATGACCTATGAAAAATGGCAGCATCTACTACAAGCCACTGACCACATTCGAAAGATATTTCCCCAAGTTTGTCTAACCGGCTTTGTGTAGAAGTTTTATGCTGCTGTTTTCCATCATCATCTATATTTTTAAAAATTGTTGACTAATTTAAGAAGCATGAATTCAATTTAGCAAGCCTTGGACACTGAAATAGTTTATTTTTTCAAATGACAGTTATACCTGCAACTGGAAAGACTTCTCCACAACAGCCTTTCACTGCATGTGATATTCTGATATTCAAGGATCTTCTTTAATGTATGAATATATAGGTTAGTCTCTTCCCCACTTTAATAATTCACAGCTCTTTTAGAAGTATTAGAAGAGGTATAATTTTATTGCTGATTTTTAGCATGCTAACAACTCTCAAATGAAACCTAAACTGTAACTCTGTTTAGGCTCTGTATTGCACATCCATTCTAATTTTTAATGTGGTGATATCAAGGCTGGTGCTCACTGTGTGCTATTCCTAATGTAAATGTACCTTTGCTAACAACGTGAGAGAAAAAAAAAGCATCAAAAGTATGCCCCGAACCAAATCAGATAAATTCTATGTCCTGCAGCTTGCCCTACTTTACATTTTACCCTTTTATAAATAACAGCTCTCTAACTTTAACTTTAGCTGCTAATAACTTGAACTATGCTTGAACTAGTAGCTTGAAGTTGCATATCCTATGACCTCTCCTTTGCCCAGCCAGCCACCTCAAGGCAAAGAACTTGCAAGACGTCAGCCCTGATTACTTGCTGCAGTCATGTCAAGCAGATGGTGAAAGTTTGAGAAGTGTTATCAGGGCAATAAATTAATATCTTCTAAGGGTTATGTTTTACAGAAGTTTTGTTCCGTAGGAACCATAAAGCATAGCTGAACAGGTCAGTCAGCATGTATTTTTGTGCTGTAATCTGCAGCTACAACTGTTTCTGTTCACTTATTAGGACTCTTCAGTGTTGGTGTTCTATAAATCAGGCTGCTGGTTGACAAGGAGCGCACGTGTAGCCTAGACTTTTATTACTTTTGTTACTATCCCTTTGGACAGCAAGTAAAACCTTCCTTGTGAGCCAGTCAGTGCGTTGTGATACTCAAAGCACTGAAAATAATGTATGAGGAAGTAAAAAAATGCTGTTGGCTGCAAAGTCGTGATGATTTAAAATCTGCAGAAGGGAACTAACTCATCTATCCCTCAAGTTACACCAAGGATTAACACAGGCCAGTAAACACATTTCTGAGGGAATGATTCTTAAATTATTGGAAGTATGTAAATCTATTCTTTTTTTTTCATGATTTCCAAAAAATGTAGTAGGTCAAGGTTGAACTATTTTAGAGAACATCTCTTTTTTTTTGTTTGAAAACTCTGTGCAAAGTGAACAGAAAAATTTAAAGCAAAGCAAGTTTGAAGTTAACTGGGAAGAGTGTTAAAATACATGTAAAAACTTAAGAAGATTGTGGTTTAAAGCCAGAATCTTTCCTCCTGATCTTGAGCGAGTTTCTTCCTTCCCTGTTGACAGAAAAATGTTACAACAAGAACAAGTGTATAAGTGATATAACTTCCCAGTGTTCTACAATCAATTTCTATAGTGTTACTAATTCAATTCTGTAGCACTTGATACAAAAACACTAAGATATTTTAACATTTCTTACAAAGATTAACACAAAAAGTTCTAGTATTTTGGCCTTGTGGTGGGAGCATATTTTATCTGCGTAGTATTTGATTATTTTTATAGGAAGGTGTCTTCAATTAATTTATCTGATTCTGAAAGAAGAACCCCCAGGAATTATTAAAAAGTATGAAATTGAAAATTGTTTAAAAGTGAATATAATATTTAATATCTATACATTCAAATGTATCTGTTTTACTGAGCCACGTCTCATAAAAAGCATATTGGAATTTGGTTCTCCAAATGCTTATATTCCTTTGAAAATCAGACGTAGGAGTATACTGGCCTACAGGGCACAGCTTTGCTACTGTCACAGCCTTTCTGTCGCTCCACGCTGTGAAAGTCAGCAGAAGTAAGCAGAAAGGCTACTGATAACCCTGCTGAGTAAACTGCATATAATCCCATGATTCTGCCAGAATGAACAGGAGTCCCAAATCTGCCTTCTATGTTTTTCAGGTGAATATGCAACAAAAAGGCCGATATATATATATGAGGGTTGCGTAGCACATGAAGGTGATAGTTGAGGCAGTTGCAATTGCAAAGCTTCAGTAGGCTTATAGAAGACTTGAGATGCATATTTTAAATACGTCTAAGAACATAAAGGAATGAAAGATGTAGTAGACAAGAATAATAATGTATATTTTATTCAAGCCAGACACATGTACAGCTGGAGGTTTTTTCTTAATAAAAATTGAAAAAATATAAGTTAACAAAGTAACTACCTGAGGTCTTATTAGACGTATTATCTTTTTAGTGTTGCTACCTCTAAGTACTGAGGAAGCAATTTGCTATCCAGTTCATAAAGGAAATTATATTTTTGGATAACTGCAAGACTCCAGCTTCTTGAGGAAAACTCTGTAAAGTGTCAAATTTGTGATAATGTAAAGAGAATTTGCAGAAGAATATAATACATAGATTTATCAACAACTAGCTAAATGGCAGTAGACTCTGCTTGCATTGAACTGGTTTTGTTTCATTTCTAAACAAGCAGAGAATCTCATCAAAGAGACAAAGCTGACAAACATGACCAAGAAGAAACCTGAAAAGTTTGTCTTTATCTTTCACCGGGATGTTGTTTCCTGACAGAACTGTTCAGAATGAAATGTCAGCAATGAGACATACGGAACATTGTTGACTACCAGGTTATAAAACAGGTCCTACAGTGGGGGGACTGTCAAACCATCATAGGCATCACTCTTTTCTCATTGCTTTCATTTTAGGAGTCAATTTTTCAATTTTTTGTAGTGAGTTAAGGTTACAAGATGGTAACTCTTTTAGGTCAAGTTACTGAAAGTTTTTCAGTAGAGGAGTTTGCGGTTGGAAAATGCATTTTCATGGAAATGTGGTGTTTTATAGAAGTGTTAACACCAGTGCAATCCTTTGAAGGGAAATAAACGCAGTCAAAGCATCACCCCATGTTCTGACTTGATACTACTAAATGTTCCATTCAAAGAGTATAAAATACATTAATTTACATTTCTATTCTTAATAGTTTTGTTACATTAATACACATTATATGTTTAATGTACATATATTGAAAAAAGAAAATTAATTAACCAAGAAGATCTAATTTAAGGAAGACTTGTTTTTTCCTTTTCATCAGATAATAATAGTAAGGGAAATAGACGCAGTCAAAGCATCACCCCATGTTCTTGATACTACTAAATGTTCCATTCAAAGAGTATAAAATACATTAATTTACATTTCTATTTTTAATAGTTTTGTTACATTAATACACATTATATGTTTAATGTACATATATTGAAAAAAGAAAATTAATTAACCAAGAAGATCTAATTTAAGGAAGACTTGTTTTTTCCTTTACATCAGATAATAATAGTAAATCACATCCTATCTTTTTTTACAGAAGTTCAAGAATCAGTGGATATAACTAGTTCCCAGCCTCCCTCAGTATAAACACAAAATTTCTTGTGAGAAGGGAGTTTAATTGGGAAGGAGCTGGTCTAGATAGCCTACTAAATAGACCAATGGACTTTTTGACCAATTTAGCCAGAAAGACTTAGTCCAGAATTACTTTTTAGGTACGAAATTGTACGTGCACATATCAGGAATACTTGGCTGATTGTATTATCTGCTAAAGATTCTTGTTATAGCATGTTAGAGGTCAGACACTCTTTGAGTTGTCCATGACATATGTTCAGTACTTTTTGACACAAGTATGAGGTATAACTTGTTGTTTCTAAAACATAATTTGGTCCTTTTATTCCAGGAAGTGTGCTTATGTGCATATGCAGGACATATGGCTGTGTCTATGAATAACTTTGAATTACTAAAATGATGTATGCTTTGAACTTTTAATCAGTTTAATTTTGTCTTTCATAAAGAATGTGTCAATTATAATTTCTTTTTTAGTGAGTATTTAATTTGGCTAATTGACAGCTGGCTATATTAATCGTGGTTTGATCTGTTTTTTGCTCTGTCTCTAAAGGAACCAAGATCTCGATAACCTCAGCAAAGTGAATCCAAGTTCTTTCACAAGTGACAAGGAGTAAGTCTTCAAAGCTTCTCAGGCCCTGCTTTTCTAAGGCAGTGAGTAGTTTGTAACTATGAGAATGTCAGGAAAGGTAATGTTGTAAATTTGTAAAATGTTTATAGATTAATAAGTAGCATTCCTTATACAGAATGATTAATATAAAAATACAAATTAATTAACTAGCATGTGCACTATCATCAGCTGAACAAGTAACATCTATCATGAGCTTCTAATGCCTTATACGCTTCCTTAATAAAACTATTAAAAAATATTTTAATATAGTTAGAGAAGAGGTATTAAACAAAAAGTCGTAGAACTCATAGATGTTGTGTTGCCCCGACAGGGTATAACAAAGCATTTCAGTCAGCAAGGGCAGTGATCCATACAGAACAGCTTGAACTTATGTTTTTGAACAGCACATCAGTTCAGGGTGCTTCAGGCCAAGTTTCTTGTGGTCTGTGAGCAGCCCTTCAGCATACAGAACAGCAGGAACTGCCGGGGTACTGTACTAGTAAGACCTACGTAATACGTGTCACATCTAACACCAAAATTCTGCAGATAACTTGTAGAACGATGTTCTAAACAGTAGCAGCACATAAAAGTTGCCAATATGTGATCATCTATTTTACAGTAGACAATCATCTCACATATATGCATATATACATATATATATGTACATTTAGCACTAACCTGTAAGTTGAGTATGATTTTTTTGCGAATTTTAATTTACAGACAATTTATTAGGATAGAGTCCAAGACTTTGAGACACTACTGAATCTTAGGAGGCACCTAAAGTTTTAAGATTAATAAACCTATTATGGATTGATGTGACCAATTTATTAATTTCACAGATCTAACTTAGCCTTTTGCTTTTGCTCCCTATTTCTACCTAAAGAGAATCAGGATTTTTTACATTAGAGTGTTTTTCATAGGTCATTCCATTCTCTAATTTACTGAAACATTTTAAAATAGTTTTTAAAACATCCAGAAGAAAAACTAGCCACTAGTTTAATTGTATTTATGAAATATTAATAATTTAAAAAATTTTTCCTTATATGTAAACTTGGTGAGTGTTTGGATGTTTACATTTTCCATATAAATACAGACATAGTCAATGCTTTCATTGTTAACAATGATGCCACATGGAGGTAATTTCTTGTCATTCCAGAAGCAAAAATGTGTGGACATTTGGACATATTTTGCGTGTCATCTTAAGAAGTAGAATTTTCTTAGCTTAAATAAAACCTTTTTTTTTTTTTTTCAAATTAATGATGCAAACAAGGATTAAACTGCTTGAAGCCTGTAAATTAATCCTAAATTCTTTGAAAGTTCATGTTTCTCCTTCACTATTGTCACTGGTGATGAAGAATCTTAAACTAAGACATTGATATGATTAAACAAAGCCTTTTTATTTTCTTGGCTGTACTAGATAATATTTTTTATTTAATTATACAGAACTTTACCTTGCTAGTGGAAAATTGTATTATGGTCAATAACATATGTGTTTTCAAATTCTGAACATAAACTGAACTAACAATTTACTTTTTTCCTTTTAAATATGTGCATAATTTTTTTTTTTTTTTCTTACTACACTTTCCCTCTTCCCAGATAGGGGGAATATTTTAACAGTTGTATTTGTTTGTTGTTTCAGAGGAAAAGACCTTGAGGATTTTACTGAAATAAATACTGCTGGTCAGAAAAATAAGAGGCAAGGCTGTCATAATCTTTCCCTTATATAATCATAAAAATGTTTGTGGTTCGTTGGATATTAGTATTAATGGGTTCTGTTCTGTAAAAGTCATTAGAGAAGTCAAAATTAATATTTTTATTTGACTGAAATGATAGAATTTTAACTTTTTAAAATTCCTTATTAAATACAGGCTAGTAAATATAAATAATTCAGCACAGAAGAAATGCAGGTACTACTTGACTTTATTTTATTTGAATTTTAAATAGTCAGTGGATGACCATCAAAGTTCTTTAAATTAATGTGAAATGCTCTGTCAAACTAAAAATTGTCCTTTAAATACAAAAGAGGAGTATCATAAATATTAAAAATCCTCTTTTCTTAGCATCATTATTAATTTTCAAATGAGAAACAGTGCAGCCCTTTTTAATCTTAAACAATTCTTCAATTGATAACATTATTATTTGTAATTACAGACCATTTTATATAAAATATTAAGGTAACATATTAACATATTATATAGATGACATGTTAATATTTGAAATCTATCATATGTAATCAGGTTTTTCACAGCCTATGATTTATGAGTTACTAGTATAAATGTGGTCATACGGTCTTAGAGATTGTATACAACTCTAGATAACAGCAGTTGTAAGAGGAATCTGGGCTGGATATAACAACAAAACAAATAACACGCTTTGGCAGCCATTTCCATAGCTCATGGTGCTGGTGCCTGTACTGAATGAAATTATGTTACCAAGTTAAAATGACAGAGCCATAATCAGTTTAGAAGATGTAGGCAGGCCCTTCACCTGTAGTATGACAACACAACGTGACACAGCAGTCATAAATTGAAACAAGAGAGATTCAGACTGAAGATAAGGAGGGCTGTCCAGCAGTGGAGCAGGTTGCCTGAAGAGGTTGTGCCATCTCTGTCCTTGGAGGTTTTCAAGATCCAATCAGAAAAAGTCCTGAGGAACCTGGTCTGACCTCAGAGCTGCCCCTGCTTTGAGCAGGAGGTTGGACTAGAAACCTCCCCAGGTCCCTGATTTCCAACCAGAATTATCCTAAAATACAATGATTAACATTTTGAGTAGTTTGCTGTTCTTTTGTAGTGTCACACTGGAGAGACACTGAAAAATACAGAGGTTTGAGTTGATAATTTTGATTTCATAACTAATGAAACACTTATAATATGAAACAATTGTGATACATACTCAGTGTAGTCAGGAATCTTCCTCGTGAAATGCATATAATTTTTTTCTTATTCAGCATAAATAATTCAACCTATTTAATATGTTTAGTTTGAATCAAATAATTTCATTAATTCTGAGATCTTTCTCATTTTCACAGAGATGAGGACCTTGGTGATCACACTGAAGTAAAGTCTGCTGATAACCAAAGTAAAAAGTGGTGAGACTCAATTCATAGTTCTCTATAAAATTTAAAGAGCTAATATCAAGAGTTGTAGTTGTTTAGTGTGGTAACAGAAAATAAGAATTCCTAATACAAGCAAGAAGAATTTGCATAACTTGAGTAAGATACTGGCATTATTTCTAAAATGTGCCTGATTAGCCCAATATAACAACATAGCTGCATGTATTTTGATAATAAGTAGTGACTCAAATCTATAATCTCTTGTAGTGAATGAAAATGCCTGGAGACAATAAGTATTTTTGTGCTTATCTAGTTGTTTTGTAAACTCAGCCGTTAGCATATCAAAGAAATACATGTAAATGTAGTCATAGTTTAAAGGAGTCATTGCTACTAGTTTTCATTATTTGGAAAAACTCAGATCCATTTTGGTCAATTAAAGTGAAGTCATTATTATGTTTTCAGGTACCATGCTGATGGTGTCTTTTTGAGTCTTCCATTTAGTTGTGTATCTAAATGAAGAGGAAGAATTTAGCTATCTGTATACACACGTACTTCTGCTATTTTTTTTAATATAAAATATTTTTATCCTAGCAGTCTCACTTGACAGTCTGACCAGAGAAGCATATAGTGAATATGTACGGTGAATGAGTTTCTCTTTTAGTTCAGACAGGGGGCCTGCCAGATTAGGAATGAAGCACAGTAGAGGGTGCTGCTTCATGCAGCATGCTATGCATATAAAACAGTGACCAGCACTGAGCAAGGTTCGTTTAGCAAAGCTTCAGACCTTGGCAAGCTCACTGAAATAAATCAAGCTGCAGCCCAAACATCCAGAGTTAAGGCTTAAGTTTCAGAATGTAACCTCTGGCAGAATCAAACGAGTAGCCTTTGTCTGAGCTGCTTTGTAAAATCATCAAAAACATCATTAGCACTTATTCCTTAAATCCTGTAATTTGCCTGACAAGGTTTATTTTTATGTTTGGTTGCATGTCATGTCATGTCTGAGGCAGGCAAAACTACAGGAGACAAGGTTTTTTGTTTGAATTGTAATCCTGCTTTTTGAAATAAGAGCCTATGTATCTGTTTGGGGAGTCATTTCTAATGAAAATATCACTGTAGTATATCCAAAAAAAGAGAAGATTTGGAACTAAAATATAGTAAAAGCAAGAATAAAACTTTATAGAATACTGCCAAGAAAACGCAGAATGCTATCAACCTCTGACACATTTCTGCACCGTTGAAAACCTCAGTGGGTACTTTGAGAAAGCTAGAGTTCAATTCAAGTTGGATGAAGTTTCTGATAAGGATATATCTACCAGCATAAACCAGAGATCAGTGATTCTGTTACATTTCACATGCAACAATTTGACAACGGTAAGAAAAAGATAAATTTCTTTTACCTACTGTTACTGTTACTTCTACATTCATGGCTGTAAGTGTAGGTGAAAGCTGTGTAGCTGAAAATCATTTCTAAAAAGTGCTTGGTTTTTGTTGCGTTGTTTGTTTGTTATTGGGTCTTTTAGGATAAATAAGCAAGCATATGAAAATACTCCAAGGGCTCCAAATAATCTCCAGGAAACAAACTACTCCAGTGACAGTGAAAGAAAAACCAGGTACTGTGGACAATTAATTGAGAACCATAATGTCTAAATGCCATTTTTTGCGGGGGTGGGGGAGAGAAACCATCTTTATGTAAGAAATTTCAGGGATTTTTAGAAACGTCACAGTGGTCTCCAGAATCATGCCAGCCACCTTCCAAATTCTGTTTCCAGGATCCCACAAACAGAAGCCCACAAAGCATAGCTCTAGTGCACAGGCCGAGGAGCACAAAACATACCCTGCGTAGCTCTAGAGATGTAGCTGAGGCATAAAATTTATGAGAGCAAAGTCAAAATTCGTATATAATCAATAGAGGAAAGGCATTTCCTGCATGTTAGATGTACCATGCTCTCAGGGAGGTTCTTTCTTTCCAAGGCTGTAAGGAAAATGTTATGCTCTTCACTCAAGGGCCTTGTTAAATTCCTAAAATTATGTGGGATGAATCTGAAACCATGTATCATCTGTTATCCCAGTCACTGAAACTGTAACATGCGTTTCTGATTTTTTGACCAGGTACAAACTATTTCAAAAACCATTTCTCTTGCAATACTCTTGCTCTCGCTGGATTCTGTCTCTACAAGCACGCATACTGCAAATCTGAGTGAAAAAATGTGATATAGGGATATTTAATAGAACTAACTAAACACCAGGTCATTTAGTAACAAGAAATCATTGAAATAAAGGTAACAATATATTTGTATTCACAGTCAAAATATATTTTCAAGAAATATGACAACAACAAAAGCCATAATATATAATTCTTGAATGAAGGACCTTTTTGGAATAGGAAAATGTCTCTTCAGTACCAACCCACTCATCTACATCGATTTAAGTAGTAATGTAGACAGGACTGTTTAAAGGCAGTCCTACATATAAGATGTGATATTTCTGTGTAGTGGTCGTGAATTGCCAGAGTCAAGGCTGATGACTTGGAAAGGAGAGAAGAAATCTACTGAGCCTTCCTAATAGGGAAAACAGCAGTCATAGTCTGGTACTTTACGAAAACTATGGCCGATGTCCCAATCCTTAAGCTTATGCACATCTGAGTCTTAGTGTCGGTATGACTGGGCACAAGGTCTTTGATCTCTCATTTTCTGACATTTGCTGCAGGAGACCTTGAAGGCCAAGCCCATAAATTGGCTGAGAATAAAAGAAAAGCTAAACAGCATACATGTTTAAGACTGAAAATGAATATTTAACACAAAAATTAATTAGCATTTTGCAGCATTTTGCAGACATGAAGCTTCTGAGGTGTAATATTCTCATTATCTTTGAAAATTAAAATAAAGAACAATAACACAAGAATGGCAGGACAAAGAATGTGCTTCAATATGTAGTGCTACCTTGCACTTGACAAAATGTATAGTCCTTACTTGAAGATATAATCCTGATTTAATTAATAAAAGCTTACTAAAGTAATGGGCTTTGCAGGTTATTCTTTCAGGTTTTATGCAATAGGTTCTACAGAGTATTTATTGTTGAGTAGTTTCCTGTATAAACAAGCCATATCATAGCAAGTAAAAGAGTGAGTGATACGAACTGAAAGAAGGGACTTGATCAGACAGGCAGTTCTCAGGCTGCATTGTGGCTCAGTTTTAACTTAGTGTCTTGTCAAGCTGTCAGCCTATGCATTTATTTGAAAAGGTTCTGAGTTGCCTCACGCTTTCAGTTGCAAGACTAGAAACTGATGCTTAGGAAATATTTTTGCTGTAGCTTCACAGTTTTTTGTCCTATACAGTACAGATTTTTATTTTAAGATGTGGTTATATATATGTTTGTGTGTATTTCAACCATAATATCCTAGCCAGTTATTTAAATCCAAGTGACATTGTTCTCTACACTAGGACACTTGAGGAAAGTACTTTTTCTATAAGATAATGTTATTTTCAGGCATGCCGCATCTAAATATCCATATTATGTTGAGTGTGCAATGCACAGTACTTGCTTTGCCTTGATCTCAACCCTGATTTAACTAGATGATTAGAAATGTCAACCTGACTTAGTAACTAGATTCTGCAGCTAAATGCATTGAGATAAATGGAAGATTTGGGAAAAATAAGCTTAACAACAAAAACAAGCACAGACAGGCCCATAATTTATAGGAATTGAGAGGTGATATTCCTATGCCACTTTTCACTATAACAAGAAACTTTAGGTACTTGCACCATCAATATACTCCATCCTGTGACATGTGTTGTGCACGTGTCTAGCTTGGTTGAGGCAAAAATAGCCAGAAAAACTCTTTCAAAAGGCGATCACTTAGCTTCAGTTTGCTTTTCTGCTTAGTAAGCTTACTTTCATCTTGCCTGAAATGTAAATAGAGCACTGGGTGTTCATTTGAGGAGGTAATTTCTGTGGTGAGCAAACCCAGGTTTGCTACTTTACTATTTAATAACAAGCATATTGTTATGTTCTTTGAAACATAAATAAAACACTTGTAATTTAAGCTTCTCAGTAACTGTGTAATTTTAATACACTTCTGACCTTGCAGACAAATCAAACAAGACATATACACATTACAAAAGACAGGTATGTAGAAAAGTGTATCTGGGCTGTGTAACACCTTACACAATCATGTTATCAGTCTGTTATACTTTCCCTCAAAAAAGACATGTTCTGCAAATGGACATGATTATAAAAAATTGTTCCTAACATTGCTAAACATTATTCAAGAGCGATATGAAACATGTAATAATTACCATATACCTTATGATTTTCTGGAGGAGTAGGATAATTAAATCAGTTCAGAAATGTTCAAAACATGTATAGCAAGATGACTTCTTCAGCTGTCACACACTTGCTTATGCCTTCCACGCAAACAAAACTGACAGTTAAGCAACTAGAACTGGGGCTGTTAAAAAAGGAAGATTTAACTTCCCTAATAGTTAAATTCAGTATATTCCTTCCTACTCTGATACAAGGGACAATACAGTTACTATAGTGAACACAAACCACGCATTGAACAGCCTGTATTATAAAGACCCTTACTCTACTTTTAGGCACATGTTGTAATTTTGTTTGGCTGTTTGACAGCTCTTTGAGGCCTAATGAAAGAAGGGGAAAAAAGGAAAAAATGCAGCGTGTCACCATTTCATGATATATATCATTTAGGCTGGAATATCAGCACAGGTAAACCCAATACCATCATGTAGATTTTACTCAATGGGTTTGCAGATTTAATTTTGAAATGTTGAGGAATAACTCAAAACCAGAACAGTCTAAGGATGCTATCTTTCTAATTTATGCTTTTTTATTTGATGTATTTTTCTTGATGGTTGTGAAAATACAGACAAAGAACTCATCACCAAGTTTGATGATTTTTTTTTGAACAAGCATGTTACATTAGTTTAATTTGCACATTATCATCAGTGTAGTGAAACTTTTAAAAATAAAAAGTACTGTTTAATGATTGCTATGCACTCACTGCTTCACAGCAAATCATCATATGGTGCCTATGAAGAAAATATAACTGGAAATACTATCAAAACTGTTTACTCTACTTCTGATCGGTAAGTACACATTAATAACATTGTAGAGTATCAAAGGACACAGACATTTTGCATAAGTGTTCAAGTGTTCAGACAAAAGAGAGCAGCGGAAGTCACCATTAGGCTCGTCAGACAGTTTTTCATACAGCGCTCCCTGTCAGTGGGATCTTGCCATCAAATCATTACCACAGTTCAGCAGCCTAATATTATGTTAGGCTTGTCACAGCTGACATTTTAAAATATCTATAGAAACCATAGCCAATGCCTTAAGTGATAGAGTTGGTTTTGTGATTCTGTAGGTTTCTATCTCAGACAGCTGCTTACTCTGCAAAATTTCCTTCCTTTGTGAGAATGGTCTCTGTAATGACCAACTTTATGTACAGATGTGGAAGAATAGGTTCACATGACAATGCTGTTAAAAACTCGATGTTTTCACACCAGGTAAGATATTCCCAAATACAAGAAGGATATTTGCTCAACCAGTAATACCTTACCTAAGGAAAAAAAAAAAAAATGTGCCCACTATTTTCAGTTTAGATAATTTGAACATTCCCATTACTTGGAAATACCAAATCAGAAAAACTTGTATCTTTTCCAACATAAGTATAAGGAACTCTGGGAATGATTAAAAATTAGTACAATGGTTTATCACTGACTGGAAAGGAGCAAGACCAGTTGATTTTGTAGTGCAAAACCAACACCAACAGTTCTATTGAGACAAACTCCAGATTGATGTCACAAAAGAATGCAAAAAGACCTGAGAAAATTTTTAAAAATATTATTGCTATGAATATCAGGTAGGCTGTTCTATACATGTGTTCACTATAACTGCCATGAAGGTAGGATTTCTGTCTGCAGTGCAAAAAATTAAAAATGTTTTCAGGCACTTATGCAACGTAGAGGAGAATTCTATACCAGACTGATCAAATGATGGCAGTTTAAATTCAACTACCAATTTACTTTTGTGATTAAAATATTAAAATCATTACCCTCCACTTCATCCCCGTTTAGTATACATGCTCCCAGACATTCAGCAGCTTAATACAGTCTCATTACTGTTTGAAATCATTCAGTTCACCAAAGAAGACCATTGTTTCCATCAAGGTATTTTTGCTACTTAACAATTATGCTCAGCAATTTGCCAATCACAGGAGCATGTATATTCCACCTGTCAACTAGAATGGAGGGAATATACACATGAGATTTTTCCATTTATGGCCATTGTATGGTATACACATCTTTCCCACGTACTGCACTAAGTTTATCAATTTTCTCCTTGAGATTTCAATGGTAGCTCTTTTTCTGACAGCTGATGTTATATTATATACACAGGAGTATAATTGGAAAAGATATATGTACATACTGCAGGAAGCCCTTGGGCATAGATGCCAAAATGATCTTAGATGCCTTGCAAATTTGCTGTCATTCGACTTGCTTCAAGGTAAGAAGATTTCACCTGCTACTTAGAAATATAACTTGAATGTAATACCTGCATTATATTACACATATAATAAGAGAATATTTAGGCCTTATGCCCTCTCCACCTGGGAGAAGAGGAAGGCTTGCAAACTGGAGGAGAAGATTAATGTAGGAAATACTAGTCTCTCTCGTGCGCCCCTATGCAATCTCTTCCTCTTTCTCTCCATCTCTCTCTCTCTCCCTCTTCCTCTACTCTCCCTCTCCCTGCCTCTCCTTCTCTCTGTTCTCTTGCAAGCACAAGGAGGATAAAGGATGCAGTGGAACATACCCTGAATGCCCTATACATTTACAAGCCGTCAGTTATACACGCTTCCAGTCTGATATAGTACATTTTATCCTACTCACACTTTGTTCATATTGTAAAGTTTTTTCTACTTCTTTTTTTATGAAGTTTTGTAGATGTTCTTGATTGAGTAACATCTAAAATCATGGCTTGTGGAGAAGCCACGCTCAAAGGCATCAGTAAGAGGTATGACAAATAAGCAATAGAGGTGAAATCATTTTGCCCACTAGGGTCAAAGAATTGGTTAAAATGTGGGTCCTATGGATAGTTTCTGCTGTAGGATAAAATGGTGTTGAAACTGGACATGTCTTTGCTTCAGTCTTATTGATTAAAAATTATGTAAAAGTAATTTTTCCTGTTTCCAATAAGAATGAAATCACAGAAGAATTATTTTTTTTTTTTGCTTGTCACTCCAAAGCCTAAGCCTCAGCCTAAAATTCACTCTTATTCACTCTTATTCACTCTTATTCACAAAATTCACTCTAAAATTTTTTCTCAGGGTACGCCTACCAGTGCTCAGCCCTGTAGTCTGTTTCGTTTCTGCCTCATTTGTCTTGATTCTGCTTGCATCTCCACACAGAGTTTGTTGTTCTAACAAACAATACTCGGCAAAATCACCACATTAGCATAGCTCGTTTTTCTGCCCAGTCTTGAGTAGCTTTTGTTTCCACTTCTGACAGCAGTTCTTTTACCTTGTTATTGCATGAAAAGTAACATAAACCAGAATACAGCAGTAAAGTTGTACTTAACATGTAAGAAGTTACCTATGCTTTTTGTCTCATATGGACTTTTGGAGCTCTTTGAGCACTAGAAATGCAATTTCTTCCATCGTAATTACTATGTAATGCTTCCTCAAATCTATTATAGCAAATAAATACAAACTCTGGTTTGCTTCCATTCTTTTTGATGGATCAACCCACATAAAGAGGAATGGGCTTTTTATGCAGTTAGGAGTATTAACATGTTGGTATTGGCTGAATTATCTGTTAAATATTTAAGCTTATTTTTTAAATTATATTCTTTTTTCTACCTATTCCCAAGTGGGGACCTGTCTGACCAGCAAAATTCAGCTTAAGTTTTGCATAACTATACATTTATGAAAGCATTGGCAAAAAATTAAACAACTAATGTAAGTCTGTGGTTCATGCTTGGGGTTATGTATTTAGCTAAGTAGTGCAATTTCTCATCATTAATATTCATTTAGCTCCCTACAAATACCCTGTATCCATTAGAGATTTGCATGTAACTGACAGCAATGTAAGGTCTTTGTTTCCTTGTAAAGGTATATAGCAAAAGTTCAGTGAGTAAATAATCCAAACTGTAGGGTTTTTTTATGTGTATAAAAATGCTAGCTAACCTTGGTGATTAAAGCTTTGAAAACATGCCCATCCTTCTGCTGATGTATACAAGGAAACATAAAATGAATTAAGAGAGCAGGCTGTTTTAATAGTACCTTAATACTAACAGCTTATATAGAAAAGACATAGAAAAAACAAATTTCTGTAAAACATCTGGGGAAGTTCTCTAGTACTCTAACATGTTATACTAATCAAAACTGAGTGCTCAGTTTCAATTTCATACTGGCTCTAATGAACCTGGATCCTGAATCTAATAATTCACAATGCCTTTAAGCATTGGCATCACACAATTTCTTTATTCACTTAGCTGCAAAGGAATGTTCTGGGTAAGACTGTTAATTTTTAATTTTAATACTTTCAGTCCAAATTTATCTGAATAGGCAGTCATTGTGAAAATTATGAAAAGGCTTACAGCCCTTCTGGGATGGCTGGCAATTTCGTTACTGAATTGCACTGTAAAAGTAAAGCTGATTTTCACTCATCAGATGATAAAGTAGCCAAAGAAACCAGAGTTTGCCATTCTTTTATTAGGTTGAAAAAAAGGGGTGATTCTGGTTTATAGATGGAATTACTTTGCTCCTTGATCCACTGTCGGCTTTCCTTGTGATCTTGGGAAGTCAGCCTCTGTGTATCTGTGTATTTTCATATGTGAAACACGGGTGATGCCTCTCTATCTCAAAAGTTAGCTTTTTGAGAAATTTGTGAAAGCAATGTCCAGATTCTGCAATAATGGGAGATATATTTAATGGTCAAGATAAAGTATCATAAACCATTTTGGAACAAGCAGGTTTAGATTTTTTAAGATCTACTCTGATTTGGACGATTAAATGTGATCATGCTTCCTTTCCTCAATGAAGAAACAAAAGGATCTCAAAAGGGTGATTTGTCTTATTTTAGAAAAAATTTCTAAGCTAAGACAGAGAAATTACCCTTTGGAAATGTCTGGGGGAGGGAAGGGGTTGGTGAGTATAAAGAGAACTTAAGAAACCATTACAGACTTAGATATCTGATTTTTAGATGTCTGAAGGTGAGATATTCCGATGTCTAATTTAATGTTAATGAAAACTACTCTTTCAGAGTTCAGATTTGATGATATTGCAGTACTCATAACCCCTATGCTGGTCTGGTGGTGCTCACTCCCAAAAAGACAGCATGCTGGGAATGAATATTAGAGAAGGGTTTTGTTTTAATTTTTCTCGTTACTTTTACTTGTGTATTGAAGTGTGAAGTATGCAAAAGACCACTGGAAGATCTGAAAGCAGGAGACAGCATTTGGATTTACAGACAAACTGTGCATTGTGAGCCTTGCTATTCCAAAGTTAAAGGTAAGATGAAAGATGTATTATATTAAACATAAGAAAACCAATGTAGAGAACTACATTCAAATAACTTCGATATATTACAACACAGTTATTGCTTTTGCTCATTTCTGTGTACTTAAACCTTTTCAAAAAGTATTTCATTCAGTAAGATTGGGTTGCTTAGGATGATATCCAAGCCCAGGCTCCAGACACAGAAATTATTCTGTACCTGCGAGGGAGATCTTTTAAGGTCTCATTGTAATCTGTAGAGTCCTGCTTGTGCAGTCAGTGGAGACGCCCACAGTGAGGCAACGGCATGAATGTCACTAGAACAAATTGCAAGGCCATCTGAGAATCAGTTTGTTCTATTGAAATGAAAAAGCCAGACTTAAGAGGTATTTTCACCTAATGTAGTCATTCCAACCAATAAAGAGAAGATGATACAAAATCTACTAAATCATAATGAAAATATACTGTTATTACTACGCTTACCTTTGTGAGGAGCATAGTAATTAAAAAAATGTGCAAGGCAGTGAAGAATGAAGCTTCTGTTTTATTAGTTTTTCTAGAATTTGCTAGATTTTAAGTCTTCTCTGTTTATGGCAATTATTAATTCATAATACTATAAATCAGCACCTATGTACCAAATAAAGACAAATGGAAACCTAGACTAAATGTTCTGATAAGCCGATGTTCACCTATGTACTACTTCTGAGAAAAGATTGTGCTACTTAAAATTACATTAATCAACTTGTTTTGTTAGAATACTTTGTGCTATTATGCCATTGCAAAATTTGATGGGAAGAATTTATTTTACAATTAATCAGATTATAAAATTAATAAGGCATTGTGACAGTTATAAAGCTGTAGAAAGACATATCAAGCATTATAAATTGACATATCCTATTTCAGCAAATGACAAGGTGGGACAGTCAAACTTCAGTAGATTTTCTAAAAAAAATCAATTGATCTAAAGTTTCTTTGTGTGACATTTAGAGAATACTGATTTTCTTGGCATTTCTGATCAATCTTTTCTCTCTTGCAGAAAAATGGATCTACTAATTTTGACATACAGAAAGCATGATAAAGAAGCTCCACCAGTGTTTAGTTAAGTGTATTGGCCTATTAAGTCAAACGACTATGGAAAATGATTCATTTTTATTGCTAGGAACAAAAACTCTAAATGCAGACCTACCGCATGGTTCTCAAAGGAATTAATTCCATAAGAATTTAATGCCTTTTCATACACACATTCCAGGAAGCAAAACAAGATATTGTTCGGTATATTCATCAGATCTGTGAAACTGCTAAACTGTGTGTAAAACTAATGATAATTTCTTGAAATTTTCTGAACAGCAAGACATACTTACACATATGTTTTGAAGGGGCTGTATTGTCTTTACTGAAACCACATCTCCTCAGATATAAAGATCTGTTATCTTTATATAGCATGAATGGGATTAATCTCATCAAAGACTAGTCATTTACAAGTCAGTTATTCAGTTTAAACTACTGTTTTCATACAGAGTGAGGTGTGTTCACTCTGTACCTTTGAGGAGAGACATCAATCTCCAGAATATTCTTCCCAAGTAACTTAAATGATCACTCTAAGATGTAAGAAATCATCTTTGGAAAATGCACCTCTATTACTGCAGAAGGATTCTAAATAAAAATTGTTAGAGGGTTTAAATTAGAAGTGTCCCACTCCATGTTTATAATTCCAGTAACTATTGTATTAGCATTTTTTTTAAGAAGCGCACACTTAATAGTCACCATGAAATCCTGAAATACATACTTTGCATGACATTATGTTGTTTTATTTATCTTTCATACTTTATTAAGCTATCTAAGCACCTTGGATGAATTAATCTTGCCTAAATTTAAACACCTACAGATTAGACACCTACTTTTAAGTTACTTATCTATTCTGTCTTTATAGTCATATAGAGAAGTAGATATTTTTAGGAAGTGATTCAATTGGTCACATTGCAAACATCTATTTTACCATGAGGTTAACCATGCTCTGAATGTACATCTTACTTTCCATGGTTTGCAAAGGAACCTGGAGTGAATAGTTCACATTTTTAGACATCTATATTAGGCCAGATAAAATCCTTCCTTTAAGACTACAATGAAAGCATTTTTTTTTCCTTTTGGACAGCATATGTGTATTAAAGTATGAAACTGAAAGAAGAGTCCATGCTTTGTAATAATATGTTTCCACAACACTCAGTAGTTACCTGCCTTATTTGCCTAAAATAATAAATACTTCAGTGGTTTACTGGACAAAGGTGTTGACTACTAGGATCTGCCTTGAGATGTTTTAGATCATAGTTATTCAGAATGGATTTTTCTCCCTTACCCCTCAGCTGAAAAGGACTTCTTGATGATCATGATCATGACAGAGTTAGAGTGCTCAGAGGCTGCTGGGCCTGAGCAAAAGCTTAGAAGGGTGAAAAGGGCCAAAGCCATAGATTAAAAAATATTAGACTGTTGAATGGCTGTCCCAGCCAAACTTTCTCTCCTCGTCTGCACATTCAGTAGTGGAGACAGGATGTATGGATGCCTGTGTAATTTAAACCATTGGGCCTGCAGCTGAATAACGATGTGATCTGTCTTGGCTGGCTTAAAGGATGTTCAGACTGATATGCAAAGGAGCCATGAAAAAGTAAATAGTTTGTTTTGTTATTTTTGTGAAAATTTCTTATGAGTTAGTGGCAGTAGCTTTAATAAACCTGTTATAAATATTTTTTCTGGCCTGTGTCTGTTGCTATTGATGACATATTCTAGTTAAACTACACTCAGTATTACCCTGTGCTGCACCAGGAAACAATGAAACTTGCACAACAGGTGGAGAAAATTAGTGGCAAAGCTTTAATGTTGGGATCACAAATTTGGTCCTGTTTGGAGACCAACAGTTATTGCTAAGGCTCAGTTACAACAGAAGATACAGATATTCATTTGAGCCAGCACATTAGAATCCAGGACTTCCTAGTGTTTGAGAGGATGCGAGATTTTAGTTCACTTCATTAGAGACCAGGAGCAAAGTCTGGATCCAAATATCTGCTACTTGAATGCTCACTGACAGAGAAGTAGCAATAAGAAACAATAAATAATAATTCTATGCTCATTAATTCATCCTTGCTGAACAGCCCTGATAATTTTGCCATGTGTTTTTTTGTTATTTTTTATTATATGTTGTAAGTTTGCTGAAAAGAAACACCGGTTTTGTGATGCTTGATATTTACCATATAAAAGCCTGGATGGCAGTACTCATTAAAAAAAAAAAAAAAAAAAAAATCATATTAACATCTCAATACCAATGTATCAAAACTTAATTGTTTTTTGTCCTTTTTGCATATCATTAGCATGTGGTGTTTTATTTCTCTTTGAGTAGTGCTTCCATGAAACAATCCAAACGAACAGTTTGCTGGCAGCTGTTTTAATGAATGCGTTCTTCAATAATGCATTAAATTAGACTGAAAAGCTGTATTGAGAGATGATGGACCAAATTATGTGGGGTTTTGTGATTCATCAGGCCCATTTTCTCAGTGTGTAATGGATACTTTATTTTACAAAGCTGGGGCATAGCTCTACAGGGGGGAGAATCAAGCAATAAGAGGAAAGGAGTGAAATAATGCATATAATACATATTGATGCATTAAAATATGTAGATGGCTTCAAAGCTTGTCACAAGAACCGTTTTGCTGTATTAATATATTCCGTTATATCCTGTGTAGGTTCTTACAGAATGCTCAGTCTGAGCATCCCATCCCTAGCAGTGCTTACCGCAAGGTGACAAATATCTGTAACATTGTCCTCCCGTCCTCTTCCTCTTGTAATAAACATTGCTGGGAGTTTGACAAGACATGCTCTCTGTTACTTCATAGAACCTCCTTAGCTAGGCTTGTAAAGAACTGGTCAACATCAAAGGGGCCTTGCTTTTATTCAGTAGGTCAGCTCCATTCCTTGCTCCTCGGTACGGAGATGAGCGTTGTGTTGGGATACTTTCATGTGTTCAGTTTATTTTCTCAGAACGTATACAGGTCAGAACTCTGTTACCCCTCTTGCCTTCCTTGATATTTTAATATAATCCTGTTGTTTATAATGAAAAGTATCCACTTTCCTGGTTGGTTTTGCTTTCTGATCATACTTTCATGTTGCTCACTGTAGCTACTCTGTTACACCAAGAGGTGGTTTCAGCTTCCAGTCAAGCTGGTGTCAGACTACGAGGGAGAAGTGTAGCCTCCTTTGCTGCTGCACCAAAACACCTCGTTTTTCTTCACAGCAGCATAACAGCAGAGACACCCTTCATTCCATAAAGACAAAGGATAAAGACACTTCATACTTAAGTAGGTTTGGTAGGCCAAAGTCTGAAATTGTTGACCAAAATAGCTCTGTTTAGCTGCTTACGGGTGCAGAATCACTGAGGTCTTAAACTTGTATTTCCTTCTGTGACTTCAAAGGCCTACGGTGCTGTTATGCACTTTGCCTGATCTGAGCAACCCAGCTCTAATCTCCTGCAACAGTAAAACTGGGACTTAGAAACATTCCTTGCATTTCAGGGAGAAGAATCTGCAGATATTCTCAAAATGTGTTTGTCACACACTGCTGACATCAGACCCCCTAAAATTCTCCTGATAACTACCGCCTTTTAAAATCATGGAGATGGTGTTCTCCTCTGAACAGATCACTGGCCCAGAAAGTGGGACGGCCAAGTTCAATCTCTCCCTCAACGTACCTGAGTTTTAACCAAGTGGAATAACACAGTGGAACAGGCTCATCTGAAAGAGATGTCCCCATTAACATTCTTCCCATGTTCCCTGACCTGTGCAGAGTGGGTCCTTATGGCTCACGGACCACAGGATAGCTGCGCTTCGGGAATGACCACTGAATAGAAAATATAAAGACAGTCCCAGGAGCAAAGATCAGATCCTGGAATTTCTCCATCTCATCTGAGTGGTCTAATTCATCATTAAAAGCAGTCTGAATGATTCTCTGATTATCTCTGTTAGTGCCGTGAT